CCACCCAGACCTAGGCAGGAGATAACCTGAGACCACCCAACAACCTGTGCTTCACAAACCCTCAAGAGAGTCTGATACATGCTTGAGTTCCAAGAGGAGGAGCTCCTGGAGAAGATGAGTCTGAGCAAGCTCTCAATCAGGTTCCTATGAACCCTACATGGGGTAAGTTCCTTGGAGCAAGGGTTTCTATAGACACCCACTTGCTCATGCTTGGGCCTAGTGAGTGTCAGAGGAGCTGGAAGGCCAGTAGGGTTGGCGGTGGGGGTGGTCTAGGCACCTGAACTCTACCTAAGACAAGTCCAGAAAGGCAGCATGAAGACCTCTCCCCTGACTTGCCACGGCATTCAATTTCAGCATGTGGCATTCAATGAAGGCTAGCTAGGGCAGCTCTTCCTGGACACAGGCAGGTTCCTGTGCTCACAGCTCCAAGCCTCACAAAAGAGGAGATGCTGCTGGCCACAACCTAGGCAAACAAACCCTGATCCAGGTAGAGGGACCACAGGATGGAGCTACAGGGCCTGTCGTGCACAGACAAGCCCCAGTTCCCAGGCACAGCAGCCCCCTCCCCTCCTCCAGCCCTCCTCCAGGGGCACTGCTACAGTGCAGCAGAAAGGGAAGTCCCCCGTCAGGAGTTCTGGGCACCCACCCAGAGCTGGCTGAAACTCTCCATGTGACTTCCCAGTGACAGCACCTCTGGCTCTAGCCGCTTCATATGTCACATGGCAGAGCCAGACTCAGAGTTGGCTCAAGTCCCATGCAGGATCCAGGGATTTGGAAACAAAACAGTGAAATATACCTCCATCCCTGGTCCTCTTCCCAAGAAACCCCTTCAACACATGCTCAAAATGATGGGGTGGTATTTCCGGCCCTGAAGATCAGGATGATGAGGGAATATAGGTGCCTCCCCAAGACAGTAATCCCCCACCACAGTGCCACACAAGGCGCTCCCCACCAACAAACCAGGCTCTCATTCCAACAGACCCAGCTTACTAGGTATGCCACGGCTATCTTCTAACATTACACTAGAGCTGAGAAGTCCCTGCCACCGGTGATGCCATCACCATGTTAAAGTCACTCGTGTGTGGCGACGCTGGTGGGAACATCCGCCTCATTGCCAGTCACATGAAACAGCACAGCACACACAATTACATATGGTGCAGACTAACTGACTAAATTCTTGGCTCCGTGAATCTATTAAACTACACTTTTATCATTATTTCACAGTGTACCTAACTTTTCGATTTTACTGTAAAGCATTGTGCCCTGTTACATGTTCTCATACATCTCCTGTTTACAGTCTCTTGACACAAAGGGGCCATGTGCAGTGGCTGACCAGACCACCAAGGTCTGCATTTCTGCACTGTGTGATGCTTTGGGAGGCTGCCCAGCCATACCATTCTTAAGTGGCCTGGACATTGAAAAGCTAGTGAATGCACGCATGTGCACATGTATAAAAGCTGCCCTGAGTTCACACACTCCCAGGCGCTGGAGCAAACTGGCAGGCTTTTTTCAAGCATGTCTCGGGGTTAGCACTACTTCCTGGCAGTGTCTGTGCAGATAAGTGCTCAGGGACAACATAGAGGGAGAGGCAGAAGGAGACTACAGCTCACCAATCTCTGCTCTCCCCAACCAAGGTTGACAACACAACACAGCTCTTAACCCCAGTCCACTCCCAGAGATACTGATATCTTAGCTTGATTCACCTGCTCCGTGACCTTTTCTCTCATGCCTGACATCACGTGGGCACAGTGGTAGAGGCAGTTCTCTATAGAGTTATCAAGCTTGGACACACTTTACAATCAGCTGGGGGCTGGCTGGGAGAACACACCTCCTTGGAGCCTGAGCCCCAGATGCTGCTGACCTTGGCTGTGGGTGAGAAAAGACTGTGTTCATGGGTACCTTAAAGTGTTTGTAGGGACTTCAATGGCCCTGCAAAGGACAATGAGATGGCCCCTGCTCTAGGGTCACATGGTTGTTTAATCTGAAGACCCAGGTGAAGACAGCCCTAGAGGCAGGCATGAGGCTCATATGAGGCTCAGAAGACATGGAGGCCTTCCCTTGGGGACTGAGAACAAGGGTTAGCTGTCCTAGACCCTGAATCCTGGCATGGTGCCCAGAAGCTGCCTAGGCAAATGTTTGTTTGCTGCAGATCAGGCCATAGGACCTTTCGGCCACAGATTTGATGGATGCTTCACTCAACACGGCCATCCCAAGGGGACCTCCCTTCCTCTACCATTGCCCTTCCTTAGTGGACCTTCCACCACTGTAGCATTTATGCAAACACCCTTTGCCTTTGTGGGGCTCTGCTCTGAGCAATGCAGGCCCCCCTTGAACACAGACCCAAGGCCTTCTTCTCCACAGCTCCTCATGTGTCCACCAAAACCTGGAATCAGGGAGACTTTTCACTCTTCGCCTGCAGTGTAGTGGATTGGGGGAGCTGAGATCTCTGGACCTATCCAAAAATACACACAGACTCTATCTACCACCCTGGCATGGGCTTCTAGGTGATGGGCAAGGAAGCAAGAAAGGGACTCTCTGAGAAGATAATGTCATCTTCAGGTGGGAGGAAGCATCACTGCTGACTTGGGTGGACAAGCTGTGTGCGGGCATGAACACTGAGGACCCAAGCCTGCTCTGTTAGCACCTAGTCCATAAGAGCTAGCTCACAGTTCTCACCTGTCTTAAGCCACCCCTACCTAGGCTTGTTCTCCTGCCCTCCCTCCTCTCCTCAGCTCTCTGAAGCCAGGGCTGGTTCTCAACCCTCCCCTGTTGAGGGATATTTGATCACACAATGTGAAAGGCGCCTTCTGATTGATTCAGTGAAGAGCTGAATGACAAATAAAGCTGAATGGCCAATAGCTAGGCAGGAGAGACTAGGCAGGACTTCCAGGGGTAGAGAGGAACTGGAGATGAATCTATGTGCTTGAGAGATGCCAGTGAGAAACTGAGGGAGCCGGACATACAGAATGGAGGAGAGGTAAAGAACCACATGATAGAACATAGATTAATAGAAACAGTTGTAAGTTGTAGTTTAAGCTATAAGAGCTAGTTGGGAACAAGCCTAAGCTAAAGACCAAGTGTTTATAATTAATAATAAGTCTCCGTGTCATTATTTGGAAACTGGCAGTCCAATAAAGTCTGACTACACTCCCCTCTCTTTCAGAAAGGCTTTCCAGACAGTTCCAAATGGTGTCTACCTTGCCAGAAGAAGTCTGACCTAGGCAAAGGTGAAGCCTGTAGCTTTCTATACCATGAGGGAGACTCAGATACAGTGACTCTGAAGTTTTCAAGCCACCTTGCTTCCTACAGATGATAGCTGCTACATATAATCCCTCCTCCATTAGACCCAAGAAAATTGAGGTGTTACATATCTTCAAAGGTGATACGGAAGTCATGCCGGGCCTCAGAGTATGCTGTCCTGAGGCAGTCTGTTCCAGTGACTGAGAATATAGACCGCCCAAATTCAGGCCCCACTTGCAGTGAACTGTGTCCTTGAGCAAGGTGCGGGGTTCCCTCGCATCTGTTTCTTCATCTGTGAAGCAGGAGTGACTGCAAACAGCCTGCAGTGTTCTCCCATTGGTCCTGTCTCACCCGCAGTCCATTGCCCACCCCTCCCTTGGACCAGTTTTCATAGCTCTAGCTTCTCATCAGAACCTCCTGGGAGCTATTGAATGTCTTGTAACTATGTCAAGCCAAGATTCTGGTTTAATCTGTGCTGTGGCTTGCGGATGTCCTCCTAAAAGGTCCCCTGGTGGGTGGGTATTCCAAGCTACTCTCTCCTCCCTGCTCCTCCTGGCCCTCACCTCTTCTTCTCCAAAGCCACCAGGGAAGCCCCTCCCACCACCACCGGCCCCTCCTTCTATCCGTGCTCTACCCACACCTGTCCTCTTTTGCTTCAGCCTGCAGACAAGAACACCCTATGGGCAAAAGAGCAGCCATTTGGGACCAATGACTCCCCGTCAGGACGCAGGCTGCATGGGGTCTACCCACATGGTACCCAGGCACTGGGTGTCTTCCCTTCAGGACCACTTTCTCACCCATGCACAGTAGCCACTTAGATCAGAGTTTGGGTTTCCTCTCACGGTATACTCATCTGTCCCCTTTCCTCAGTGTCCTTAGTTGATATGGGCTAGAGTCCACTTCTGGTCTGGCAGTGAAGCAGCCATGCCATGCTGGGAGCATCCCCGCCCCCGTCAGTCTTTGTGAAGAAGCTGCTGGTGTAAAGCTGGCCTAGCGGAAATTCTGTTTAACTGGGCTGAAGATTAATAAAGTCTTCAAGCAGACTGTTCTCAGAAGAGCTGAGTGAGTCCAGAGGGAAAGGTACACTCCTCAGGATGTAGTGGATCCCCACCCCAGCCTGCTCTGCATCGTGACAGGAGCAGGAGAAAAGCATGACCTCTCTAAGATGCCCACCCAACCTCCCCTACCCCTGCAGCGGGGAGTTGGAAGAAGACCCCTGGGTCTTAGGAGCTGTGCCTCTCCCTCAGGACATGAATTGTTAGGAGGCACCTTTTGGAATCCTTGGGATCATTTGAAGAAACAAAGCTACAGATGTATGCGGCCACATCCAGCATATGATACAGGAGTGCCACATTAACCAAAGCCCTGGGGTTGGCTTCTGCTTTCAACCCTGGTTTCTGCCTGACCCAGCAGATAGGAAATGACCCCACCCCCTTGCCTCCATCTGGCCAGATACCCTCTAACCCGACCACCGTAAGAGCTTCATTTCCGCTGCCACTGGTCCCAGGTGGCCTATGAACAAGCTTGTTGATAGCTGCTATCCAGACCGGGCCCAAGAGAAAAGAAGTCACTTTAAGCTACCCAGAATAGCCCAGCCCAGACTGGCACAAGGAGAGTCACCCAGCATCACTGAGCAGGGCAGATGTCAAACGCCATGACCTCAGAGGGCATTCTGAAGGCTCCAGAGTTCCAAACCCTCCCACCACATCTGCACAGCTAGCCTGCATGTGGACACCAGGCCTGTGTGCCACTTCACTCACCTGGGGAAGACTCGTTTAGGCCCATCAGGTCATTGGCCCTCTGGATCTTCTCCAGGCACATGGCTTGCTCCTTCTTGAAGATGCAATCAGAGTGCATAGCAATAGCCTGTGGGACGTGAGGAACAGACAATGAGAGAGCGAGGGCCTCCATTGACAGCCCTTCCGCTTTGACTTAGAAGCAAAGTGTTAAGCAGGAGGGTGACAGACCTCAGACCAACAGGGGCACCAACATCTACTTTGTTACAGATGCCATGAGGGCTCCCCACAGACCCCAACTCAGTGTGTGGGTCCCATGGGTTCCTGAGCCTCAGTCTCCACAGTATGGTGACATTAAGAGTTGCATGGGCTGCCTTCCAGCAGCTGAGCATCTGTGTGTGCATGCATGCTAGAAGCTCATAAACACTACAAAGGAGGGGCTATTTTTTGTTTTCCTCATTCTCTGTTGCAGAGAATGTGTGACCAAGCAGAGGTGTTACTTAACTTATTCACAGGATCTGAATCTGATCTCCTGACTCTTGCTGCACTTTAGGGGCGGGTGAGGCCTGGTAAACTGAGAGCTACAGGAGCAAGCACCCTGCCCCAGCAGACAAAGGGTAACGGTAGGATCCAGGGGCCTCACCACTCTCTTTCAGAAGAGGAAAGACAGGCTCAGCGATGGTATGGTACAAAGCCCGTCTTGGGTCCCACGGCAGGATCCAGGAACTTCACAGCCAAGTGTAGATGATCATGACAGATGGCCAAGTTCATTTCCATCACATCCCAGGTCAGGAATGATGCCCTTGGCAAAGATCGGAGCTGCCAAGGGCCATGTCCCAAGACAGATCCAACCCCAGCTTCTCACAGAGAGAGGGATGTGCCTATCCCATAACATAGGAAGATAGAGATCAGGAGGCTGGATACCTGGGGCTCTAAGAACAGCCCCATCCTGGCCCAAATGGAACCCTCCTCCCCTCCCAATCTTCACCCTCGCTCAGGAGAGGTCTGAGCAGAGGACAGGCCCCTGAGTCTAATGTCAGAGGGCCTCATGGGATGGGGACCAGAAGACCATTCTGTGGCCCTAACCGGGGACCCTGCACACTGTAGAGCTATCCAGATACTATGCAACTCTAAATGCCACAGCATGTGTCACCATCTTAATAGGCTTGTAAACTCTGTAACATCTTTCAGTCCAATCAGCACCAGTCTTGAGAAAAACCATTTATCTAATTCACACCACAGAAACATGAGTGGTACAGTGGGGGGGGGGCGGTGAGTGTTGGCAGACATTGACAAAAATGCCAGCATAGGGGACAGCTTGGCTGAGAGTACACAGACACAACTGGGTCTCCAGGTGGAGGCTCCGCACACGCGTGGAGGGAGACTCTGGGCCCTTACCACAGGCAGCAGGAGGAGAACCGTCAGGGAGCAGCCGAGCAGGACTCTGGCCATGGTGCTTCCCATCCTCTATCTCGGGCTGCGGCTCCCAGCAGTGGAGAATCAGCGGCGCCGCTGTCCACAGGCTGAAGGGAAGGAAAGAGCACCCCAGGTCAACTGCAGTGGGTTCCCAGTCTAGGCTTCCAGCCCTGGTTAACCCTTGGGGCCTGAACTCCTTCTTTTTAACTCTTCTGTCCCACCAACACGGGTTGAGCATCATCTGCACTGGACCCACAGGAGGGCACCGCATGTGGGTAGGTACATGCCAGCTCAGCTACCAGGCTCCTGGAACACTCCAGGGCAGCTTATTCCCCTGCAGTAGACCAACTGTCTCCATGTCTCGACGTTCTCTGCTTCCACACAGGAACAGCATTTTGGCTGGCATATGCATGCCCACCTAGCAGTGACATTTACCAGGCTCCCTTGTTCTCAGGCACAAGCGTGAGTCTCTTGTGCAGGGCACATCTGCGTCTACTTCTTTCACTTTCCCTTCTAAATGCAGGGTCCGCCTTTTCAGGGCGGGGGACAGAATAATTTCCCAGCAATTGGAGAATAACAGTGGAATAGAAGCCAGGATCACTGTGCGGTCTGTGGCAGCAAGACACCTCTCCAGCCTGGGTAGCCGAGCGAACTCCAAGCTGCTCTGGTATGGAGAAATGAACTTCTATACCATCTGCTCACTCTTGAAGGGCTTCTTCGCTCCTGCCGCACAGTTGGGATAGATGCATTCCCCTTTCGCCCTGTCCCACCCCACTTTGTCCTCAGTGACTACTAAAGGGTATGCTCACATCTTAGTGCTGCTGGACCTCAAGGACAGGTGTGGGAGGGACCAGGACCCCAGACGGGACCAGAAACGCTACAGATAACTGAGGACACTGGGGGAACCGAGCTCACAGTCACAGTCACAGCCGTTGACTATGGATACAAATGCCTCGCCATTCGGGAGCTCTGCACTTGGGGAAGGTTTGCCCTTGGACAGAGAGCAACGTATGTGAGTCTACTCACTGCAGCAGCGCACACCGGCCCTGCTAAGCAGAGTGCTGTCATCCCTCCAGAGTGATGGTGGTTATTACTACATGGCTGTGGGAAGGATTATGAAGGAGCCCTATCGGAGCACAGCTAATACAAAAGTGCTTCACTCTGGAGGCCGCGAGGAGCTGAAACAAGCCTGCCCCCTCTACCCACGTGTCCTATGCACCCAGCTTTTGTCACCCATGCCTCTGTGCCCCTGCTGCTTGGTCTTAACGCCCTCCTTCAACCCTTTTGGCTCAACCAGGTCATAGACAAATACCCAAAATGAGGAATAAAGACCAGCGACAGGAAAGAAGATGGAGAGAAAAGAACGCCCCTCCCCAGTCTACAGCTCAGTCAGAGATGCTGAGGAGGCCTCAGACAGCTGACAAGTACTGGGGGAGGGGACAAGCAGGCCTGGGTGGGCTGGGAGAAGGCTGGGAACAGACCGAGGTAGGCACACGGGCTTGAGTTCCAACACCTCCTTGTGGCTACAGGCAGCCTTGGTTTTGGCACTGGTGGTTCCCCCGAAGGGGGCAATCACCTCTACCAGTCTGAGATTCCCAGACTCTGCCTGCAAAAATGACTTCAGGCTTGGCTAGGAGAGAGGAATATCTAGTTCTGGGGACCTCATCAGGAGGGAGAAGCCATCTTTCCCAGCTAGTTCAGGACAGAAAAACCAGTAAGAGCGGGATGTCCTCTGAAGTCGGGGCTGACTCTCTTTCACCTTGAGTAATCTCAAGATGAAGACTCCAAAACAGAGCTGTGGTCCCCAGGGAAACCCTTTAGGACCAGACTGTCCCCAGACATATCTACCTCCTCTCCGTCCCAGACCCTCTCAGTCAGGATGGGCCTCCCATTGGGTTGTGTTGTTGGGCTTATCGTGGTTCTGCATTAACCCTTGTGAGAACCTTGGGATGCACACAGGAACAAAGAGAGCTACAGCTCTAAGGTTCTCTCTGGTGGAGGGGTCACGATGGGGTGGGGTGGGGGGCTGGTAGTCTATCCTCTCCCTCTCCTTCTCTCTCCCCTCCCCTCTCTGAAACAAATGAGCATAGACACATGTCACGTCCACAGACACCAAACCACCAATATCCGCAGAACTTCCACTTGCAGGCGTCAATATGATCATCTGTTATACCTCCCCTCATGTGTCCCTTTATGGAGACCCAGAACCACATACAGAAGACGCTACAGTGAGGATACTACTAGCTCACAGACACGTCATCTTCCTGCAGATATGTACAGGGATCCCTGGTTCTGTGTCCAGTCTCCCAGACAAATCACAATCCAGGGAGATACACATAGTGTTGACACAGGAGCCATGGAGAGCACATAGGTGAGTATCTCAGGTGGGGCGGCCACCAGGCAAGAGCTACGGTCCTGGGTAACCATTGCTGCTCCACCTCATTCCTACCACAGAGGGCTCACAGGCCCTGGCTTCTCCTCCTGACTCTGGAGATCTCACGTAACCTCTGCTCTTCCGGGTGTTTCTGTCCTGCCCCCACTCTTTCCTGGTAGCACCTAGCCTATGCTTTCCACAGTGCTCTGTGGGGCCCAGACACAGTCCTCCACAGGCAGCCTCCCCAGATGTGTCCCCTGGATCTGCCACACCAGCCTACTGCTCCTCTCTACCCAGGCTGCCTCTGCCTCAAAACTCCTTGGAGAAGCAAGTGTCCCTGTCACGGAATGAGACAGGCCACCATAGATCTGTCAGACACCCCACCCCGAGGAGGGGCATCAGGCTGTTTGACTTGGGCACCCTGCATGCCCATTCATCCCACCCAGTGCTCTCTGGGGTTCAAACCCCATGCTGGGCAGGTGGCTCTGAGAACAGGCAAGCTCTGCCTCCGAGCTCTGAGTGGAAGAGAAGTGAGAAGTTTTCCCTGGAGGTTTTTGTCTTGACCTCAGGCAAAGTACTTACACTTCCTGCTTAGCCTCTACACATGTCTGCAAAGTGGGCAGGACAGCCATGCCTGTCCCAACAGCAGCCCTTCAAGGATGTGCCACAGCCTGGCATCTGTGAGGTGTCTCCCTCTCTGTATTCATGATTCTTGTGCCACAGTGCTGTCCCCTCCATGCTCAGTCCCATACACTGGGAACAGCAGGATGGCTGCGCTTTATCTCCAAATGGCTGGTACTTACTAAGCACTCAGTGTGTGCTAGGCGCTCTTCGAAACTGAATACCCATCGACTTCTGTAACCCGACTGACACTTACGAGGTAGCTCCTGGCACCATCCTCGTTCTACAGGGGAGATGACAGGGGCGCAGAGAGTCTAGACAACTTCTCCAAGGTCACACAGGAAGTACCCCACAGAGCTAGAAAGTGGCACCAAAACATGTGCGTCCCTTGACTGCTCTATCACTTGTAAAGGAGCCTGCGGCACCCCTGATGAGTTCTCACAGGCTCAGAGGTGTGCAGATCCTCTACTACTGGGCACCATTTGCCTGTGCAGAGGCAGGCCTACCTGTACCTGTCCCCATCGTCAGGAAGAACAGCTGTGAACAGAGCATTTCAGTCCTGCCTGAGATCCACTTGATCTCATCATGGGGAAGCTGAGGCCGGAGTGGGAAGGTGTTTCCCAAGGTTACACAGTGTGGACCCTAGAGATATGCCTGACAGGAGGGAGATGTGAACTCAACTTCAGGGGGTCCAGGAGACCTCGGAACAGGCCCAGCCCTCTAGCCAGAGAAGGCCTGCCCTCCCTAGGCTGCAGCAGTTCTGAAGTGAGTTGAACAGGAACTGACAGCAGCAGCAGCTGCTGCTACATCACCAGTCAGCACACTGGAGAATTGGTGACTCACAGACCTCGAGACTTTCCTCGTCAGAAGAAGGGGGGATTTGCAGACCCTTCAGCCGCCCTCACTGCACCAAACCCAGCAGAGGCCATCTGCCGTGCTCAGAGGGGGCGTGGTTTCTGCTGCAGGCCACTGACAACTCCTCCCACAGCTGGTCCGGGTCCTCAGTCAGAGTCTGGTATCCCTCTGCATCTTTTCCTACTCCGAATTCCTTTGCCCTGTGAAGCCCCTACAGGGATGGACGTGAGGATAGCACTGTCCCATCCCTGTCCCCTCACACAGGCCTGGGCCCCATATATGTCCCTGCACCAGAGACACTTCCCGGGCAAGACCTCAGGGGACGGGGAGGAGGTAGGGGAGGCTGGAGCCAGTCTAGCAGCTAGGGACACTGGAGGACAGGATCAGAAAATGGGGTATCACTGAGTGGGAAGGGATTGCTACACCCCCACAAGGGAAAGAGATTTTTTTTTTTCCTGGCCACTGAGCAGAGCAACCATAGGGCCGGCCCTTCAGGGTGAGGACCAAATTGATGGAAAGTGGGCCGGATCCTGAGGTGTGGGGCAATATGACGGCAAAGCATCCCTGGAAGGTGTGGCAGGAAAGAAAGGTCCTTGGAGGACAGCAGGGCAAGAGAGAAGCAGAAAGGAGGGTGAGCTTGCTCGCCGAGCCATAGGTCCCCAGTGAAGAGATTCCAAGGTGCACAGCGGCTGCCAGTGATCTCGGCCAGCGTGCCACTTGCCCATCTGCCAGGGAGAATAAAGAGCCACGTGCTACTCAGGATCTGGGGAGGGCTGGGAGGAGAGAGGCCATTCCAACCTTGGAATACCACCTCCCGACAGCCCACCGGTGTGCTCACTCGTTCTATGTTCCGGTCCCCAGCCGTGAACTAAGAGCCCCTCCCTCCTGCTCAGGCTTGTTGAGGTCTTGCCAAGTTTTACCGTGAGATCCAAGGTGAGGTTTTGAGTTGGCTTCTCCCTCGTGAGAGGAACAGGAGAAGAGGGGCTTAGGCACGACTTGGCTTGCTCAGACATCAGAAGGATTTAATGGGTGCCATCTCCAGGTACACTGCAGGAGTAGGGGTGTCCCCAGAGCACAGTGGAGGCATCCCCTGGGACTGACACACAGATGCCTCTTGGAGACCAAGAGGAGCATCTAGTGCTCAGGCGTCTTGGACTCCAAGATCAGACATCCTCTTTCTTCAGCCTCTTGGACCCTCTCTTGCCTCTAACCAACCAGCCCAGGAGCTAATAGGGACCCTTCCACCAGTTAGATTCACTTAGTTCCCTGGTTTTGGACAGTCAGAGAGTCAAGTATGGTTTCTACATGGTGTGGGAAATTAAAAGAATTCAATTTCACAAAATGCAAATTGCATGAAATTAAAATATGAGGTGTCCAAAAAGTTTACCAAAACACAGTCAGGTTTAGTTTCTGTTCATCTGTCCCCTGTGGCTGCTTCCAAGGTAACACAGCAGGACAAAGTCACTGAGATCAAGTATGATGGCCACGGAGTCTAAAATATCTGCTAGATTTACAAAAAAGAAAAAAGAAAAAGAAAAAGCTACATCCCATGTTCTAGGCTCCTGCAACACAATGTATAAACACCACACACACACACACACACACACACACACACACACACACACACACACACACACACACCTAGGCCTTCATTAAGGGTGGCTTTTGTGACCAAGTGTTCCCAGATCCTGTGTGAGGATGTCTTTCTGTTGCTGCTTATTTCTATTTCATCTCAGATCCCAGGCAAGTGTCATGGGAAGCCTACATGCCTTCCCAGCTGTGTGTCACTCCTCTGTGTGTCAGTGTGGGGGTGGTTATCATTGTGTGCTTCTGACGACATCCAGAGCTCAGTACAAACACATCACATCTAAGGGTTTTCCTGCCTCCATGTTGCCAGGCAGCTGGACCATGAGGCCCAATCCGTTCAGGCGTAGAAGCCCAGTTCCTGCTATTCAGAAGTGGCAGGCAGCCTCTAGGCCTTCCGGGGTAAAAAAGGCCCCCATATCCCCTATCTGGAGCATCACAGCTCTGCTCACACACATCCTCTGCTCCTTTCAGTCCCCTCAGGGTCAGCTCCAGGATGGGTGGCTCACAGATGAGCATTGTGTCCCTGGTCCTAAGTGAAGTTCTCACACTGCATTGAGCACCCCAGGCCCTGCCATTTGGCCGGTAGCACAGGGTCCTCCGCTTCCTCAGTGCCATTCCTGGGCAATGAAATGCATCCCTGCCAGGCCACCTTCTCCGTGAGAAAGCCACCTCGTGGCCCTATCTCCTGTCCTTTCTGGAATCTCACCTCTATTCTGATCTATAAACATGCACTGAGTCCATTCCACCATTCAATACAAACGGAAGGAAGGAGTGTCCAAAAGTAGAAGCACGACCGAGAGGTGACCGTGTGAACAAAACAAAACAAAACAAAAAGCAAGGGTTCCAAAGTGCTTCTCCAATCAGCCCCCTGCTAGCCTGAAGCATGCACAAAATGGGAATGGAGGGCAGGAAAAGGTCCTCCAACAGGCATGTCCCTCACTACACAGAGACAGACAGACCCTCGGGGACCTGAGGACAGATGCCCCACCACCCATGAGCCACCACTGATGGCAGAAAGCAGGAGGAACTGTATCTGCATCTGACTCCTGGTCACACCACACACACACACTTGTTGATGGATTGGTCAGGAGATGGGGCTCAAGGCCAGCTCCAGCATGTCCTGTCTTGAATTTGTGTGTTCAGATTTTGGCTTATGTCCAGACTGGGGCCTTTGCCTGTTCTCTCCAAGGTCAGTGAGGAGCAGGAGTCCTAGGCCGGCACTTGGGAATGGGGGCTCCTCCAGCCTCACCTGCTCACCACACCAATTGCATCCCACGGCCTCCTGAACAAACCTAGAGCTACTTGCTATTCCTGGGCTCCCAAAAAGGCTCAATCACGGTACCCCATCCTCTTCCCATGCTCACAGCCACCTTCCAGCCTCCAGCTTGACCTTCAGAATGGCCTGCCTCAGTTCAACTGCATCCCCAGGGCAAATTGCCCTCCACATGCTCTATATGGGCTCTGAACTCCCACATACCCCCCACAGGAATGCACCTGAGCTGCACAGAAAAATCCCAAGAGAGGCCCCGTTTCTCTTTTTGTTTGGAGAGTGAAGGGTTATGGGACACATAGCCTGAAGTAAAGAAAAGTAGCCACATACACCAGCCCTGAAATGGGCTGAAGAATTACCAAGACCTACTCTCAGGCCAAGATGGTCCAGAAGGCTCTGAGCTCCATGTGGAATTGATGCTCCACTCCCTAGCAGCAAGTGAAATGCCATCACTGTCCCCTTCCTGTGTGCTTGCTCCTGAAGATCTAGTTCCATGCACTGGTGCCTGGTCCCTCAGACCCCCAAACCTGCCATGCTGTTGCTGGTGATATGGTCCTGTTCCCAGTAGCTACCTACTGCGGGCCCTTAAAACCATCAGCGGGGGTCTCAGGTGGGCCCACTTCAGCAACCCCACTCCCAGCAACAATTTTCTCCCACAGACCCTGCAGGGCGTTTCCTTGTTAGACCACCAAAGCCCAAGCATCTCTCATTCAACCTTTCTGTGCCGCGGGAAAAATCGTTGGACTATCCTTTTTTTTAAACAATCCAAAGGTTATCATCTCCACTGGGGGACAAACTAAACTGGTTCCTTCCCTACCTTCATCCCCAGCACATAGCTTGCCTACTCCTCAAATACCCCGCAGACTGTGGAACCGAGTCCCCCCAAGGACCCTCCAGCATCTCCCTTCCAAATCCGCGTAGGCGCGTTGGTCCGCCCTGGAGACAGGGAAATAGACCTCTTGGGGTCCCTCTGGCCGCAGTGTCATCCCTGCCCCTGAATGTCCTTTTCTGGCACCAGAAAAGGCTGAGAAAGCTAGGCCGATCCCCACTGAGTGGTCTACAGGGATGATAGCCCCAGTCCACGGTCCCAGACACTTAGATGGGGCAGAGAGAAGCGTAAGCAGCCCATAGCCGCGAGAGAGGTTGGGCTCCAGCGCTGTGCCCCGCGCTGGCCCTCGCCGGCTCTGGATCGGCGGAGCATGCGGCTCCAGGAGACCTCTGAGCTGGAGGAGGGGTCCAAGGGCCCCGCCGGAGAGGAGAAGCGTCTGGAGCTGGGCGTGTGCAGCGGAGCGGAGGGGGACAGGTCGGAGATGACCCTTACCTGCTGGCCGCAGAGCCGAGCTGGCTGCAGGGCGCCGGGACGGAAGATGCAGGAGGGCGCGTAGCCCGCGAATCCGTGCCCGGAGCTGCACTGGCTGGAGCGTGCGAGCCGCGGAGCGCGCGCCGAGCCTGGTCTCTGAGTGCGTGTGGCCGCGGGCAGCTGGGTCTGTGTGTCCCTGCGCCGCGGCGTGTACGCGTATGTGCACACGGGGACCACGCTAGTCCAGAGTGGCCTGCCAGTCACCTCCGGGGATGGGAGCCAGGAGCCCCTCGTCTGCTTTCGTCCGCTCTGCACCGCGCGGCCCGCTCTGTCCTGCGGGAGAGGCGCCGCCTCTGCTGCGCAGCCAGGCCCGGGGCTGAGGGAGGCGACAGACCACCGCCTCCCCAGCGGACCTCGTAGGCTGGGGGTGGGGTACAGGCCAATGAGCGCCTGGGGGCGGGGTTAGGCCCGGGGCAGAGATGGGGAGCTGGATGAGGACCACCGCACTGACACAAGCCGGAGCTGCGGCAGAGACCCAGGGCGCGGAGGCGGAGGTAACAGCCCCCCTTTCCCAGTTCTGTCGCAGAGCTTCCGGGCTGAGTTGAGCCTTCCTCAGGACTCTCCACCTTTCTGTCCAACCGCAAAACATCCAAGAGGGAAAGCCTTCTCCCTCTCCTCACTGTGTCCCAAGCCTCCTCTGCCAACCTTGCCACCCCCACACGAGCAAGTCCCAGGCCCCCTTCGGGCCTTTCTCTGCCCACAGTCCGGGTCTGCAAGGGTTGGATTGCAAGTGCCTATCTGGATGTCCTCAAATGTGACACTCTGAAGAACACCCCTATAGCCACTATAGAAGTGATGGTGCTTATAGGAGGTCTCTTAAAATAAATGAGACTGCCCCGCCAGCTCTGCGAGTTTGGGCATGTGGCCTGACATTTCTGAGCCTCGACTTCTTCACCTGCGCTATGGAATCATAGTTCCTATTTCTGGTTGTCTTGAGAACAACACTGCGTAAGGACAGTCTGTGTGCCAGTAGTAGGCTTGCACTAGCTTCAATCTACGATGCTGAACAAATTACTATTGTTATTGGTGACGTGGTCTGCTCAACCTTATCCTGGTACACTTCGGGGGTTTAATGAGCAGAACTCGGCAGGCTAAGGCACATAGCCAACGGTCCTGCCACACCCAGTTGGATGTAACTGTCCCCAGTCAGAGCATCCCGTGAGTATTCTGAATCCCCATCACTCAGCCTTCAACCAGGTCTGCCATTGCCCATTCAGGTAAGTTCTAGGCCACCCTCCCTGTGAGTCCATTCACTGAGGTACAGAGTACCTTCTGAGGAATCCCCAAGGAGGAAGAGGGAAGGAGAAAAGACTTGAGCCTTTCTTTGGAAAAGTCAGTCTAGCTGAAGATGAAAGGTCTGGGACACAGAGAAGAACCATGGATGAGAGCCATACAGAGTCTAACACATAAGACCCCATTTCATAAAAGAAAACAATAAGGCTCAGAATAAGGAGCAACCTAATGTCCCAGAAAGATATGTGAAGTGCCCTACATACAGACAGCACATCCATGATAGCTCCCCTTGTAGCCCAGTAAGCACTGGCCCCTCACCTCACTGTCGGCTGGCACTAGCTTGTGTTCTTTTCCAGCCATGTTCCAGAGGAAGAGAAGTAAAGAATACCAGTCTTCTCTATCAAGAGTGGTTGGGTCCCTTCTAGAAAGAGCACAGCCAGGTGCTAAGCAGGTGTCAGCAAAACCACCCTCTGGAATGCACTGCATCTCTTTCTAGTCTTTTTTCCCAAGCCAGGAGTCAGCTTCTCTACTCAGCCTCCAGTCCTGATGCAGGAACAATCAAATGAGATGTCACCTGTGGAAGTACTCTGTCAAACCGTGAGACGTACAGGGGAAGACATGGCTGTTGGGAGCCTCCAGACAGGAAGTGAAGCATGAAACAAAGGACATTGGCACTAGGGGATGCATGGAACGGGGAGCTGGGATCACCTACAGTAGAGCAGTTCACTCGGGAAATGGTGATAGTCAGAGTCCCCTATGGGAGTCCTGCCACTCTGAAGTTGTGCATCCAGTCCCTGGGTTATTGCGATCTTGGTTCTTCACATCGGTGTCCGGGAAACAGAACCCTGCTCTCTGTGCTTTGTTACCAGGTGTACATCCTAGTGTCTGAGAAGGCACTTATGGTGTGCATCTCCCTCTGTCCAGGCAGCCAGCTGTGTAAAAGGAAGTGAGGTGTTCATACACACACACACACACACACACACACACACACACACACACACACACACCTGTCCTCCCTTTGCCTCACAGCCTAATCATCTGAAGGTGTGTCCCCCACAGACCGATTGGCAGTCAGGCCTCTGGTTCTTCATGCACCCAGCCTAAATAGATCTGATAAGGGCAGAGTGTGGATGGAAACCATGACACACACAGCCAGGTATGTCTGAAGTCATCCAAAAGTGGTGCTTTTTCTTAGTTGATTCACTTCCCAGGGGCAGACTCACTCACCAGACCAAACACCATACCCCAGCAGAAGAGGGTCTTCTGAGCTACCCCCTCCATCATAAGGACAGAATGAGCTTCTGTGCCCTATGCTACTCTGTGCCTGTCACAGGCATTTGCCTCTGGTACTCCTAACATGGTCCAGTGCATAATAACGACACCAATTCTGGTCACCCAAACTAAGCATCCTCAAGAACAGAGCCGGGATTTCTCATTATCTCTATGCTCATTCACCCAAGATGTCAACTTCAGGTCAAGTTCTAACCTTGACCTTCTATGCTTGGCACCCCACCACCCACACCCTAGCTGCCAGGCTCTGGAAAGCATTTGGAGGGGTGCTAAAGAACCACCACGTCAATGGTCTCCCAGAGCCCTCTTGAGATGCCTCCCCTCCCAGAGTAGGAGAATGAGGGGCCTCCACACCCATTGTTCCTTACCCTGAGGAGCTCATTGCCTCATCCCTCTCCACAAGCCAGCCAGCCAGCCAGCTGGGCAGGCAGCAGCTGAAAAATATGGGTTTTAATTCGATTTCCTGGGATGAGGGATTGAGGGAGATGGATGCCAGGCCACCCTACCCAGCATTCATATCTCCTGGGCAGCCGTTCCTTCCGTGACTCTAGCCCAGCCCTGGCGCCACTCAGGCATGAGCTGCACCTTCCAAAACACAGGTGTCTCGTGGTGGAGAGCTGGCATTTCTGGTGTGCTCTCCCTCTGTAGACCCAAGGCTGCTCCAGACTCCTGGCACGGTCCGCTAGAGAAAGGACCCTTTTTAGCTCTTCTCCACAGAATCTCTTTGCAAGCTTTGAAAGAAACACCCCTGCCCAGGCCTCACCACCGCAGATAATTAGATAATTGGTCTGTGGAGAGGCTTGGGTAGGAGTGTTTTTTGAAAGCTCCCTAGGGTGTTTTAACATACGGCCCGAGTGTTCTGGAGCATTGTGAGAAGCCCTCCCCATGCCTTGTGTGGAAACCTCCCAAGGTGGTCTGCTCATACAACCCGAACAGGGACCTTGTGGACCTGGTCCCCAGACCTTGGGATACCCTGAAAAAACAAGGAAATGTATGTTAGTTCTCTGTCTAGAGCCATGCTGTGCAGACTGTGACCTTGGTGGACTTGAAATCCCTTGACATATCTCAGCAGCTACAGGGAGCCAAGGAGGATGGAAGGCCATCTTCAGAGGTACTAGGCTTAAGTTCTCTCTGTCCCTCACCCATTCCAGGGCCCAGCAGTGGATACAGATGAGCGAGGCAAGGACTATTTGGAATTAGGGGCAGGTGGGAACCAGGGGCAAGAGATTTGGAACCCTCACTCATAAGGTTCGGAATCAGAAATGATACTTCAATCACAAGTCACTACAGCTGCTGGCAGAGGAGGTCTCAGCTACCAGCCCTGTGCCTCCCTAACTCTTAGATAAGAACATATGCATCTAGGAGATTGGAAAGTATGGATGTTGGGGTGGACTGGATGAGAGAAATAATTCTTTGAAATGGACAGGAAAAGCAAGAGACCTGTGTGCTGAGCTACAGCTCTCTGATCTGTGTATATAGATTTGCAAATACTCTGTCCTGCCCAGATGAGTGCACAGGTAAATATACATACTCATTGCAACTTCCGGTGCAGTATACATCCCCAGAGGTGTGGTTACAGATGAGCCAGTGAGTGGTACCACACACAGATTTGTGCTCTGAATATACATCTTCTCCTCTGGGATAGAGATATTCCCTCCTGAGGGAATCTCAGGCAGACAGCAGAGCCTGTCTGCAGAGGGATAGCTTCATCACTCTTAGGCAATTTCTTGTCAGAGAGTGAGTGACATTTCCCATTCACCTTCTGTAGTGCCTTCCCCAGGGATTCAGCTGGTTACTCATGGGAGCCAAATGTTCTGAGAGCCCATAGTTGATGGAGAATGAAATATTTCTATTCTCACACTATCTCTTCTCTCTCCATAGGATTCTTTTCTCAACCCTCCATCCCCTCCTGTTTTCTTCACATCTGGAGTTTGTGCACAGCCTCTTTGGTTGCAGAAAGGACCCTTCCAACCTATGCTATAAAATGGCCACACATGTATTTAAAGGACATTTTGCACATACCCTACCCTCAGCTAGGAGCAGGTCTGCTACCCCTGGCCTGCTCAAAGTCCTGTCACAATAGATTCATGCCTGCTCCCTCCTTGCAAATACCATAGTCAAAACCAGTTTCCATTTGCTGCTCCTACAGCTTCCTAGAGTCTGTCTTGACTACTCTATAAATACAGTATGCCCCAACCCCACACCAGCCCTGGCTCTAATAAAGGGCCTCCACAGGCAGGCACAGAGGTGTGGAAATTGCAGATAATGCATGTGGGAGGAGGCAGCCTGCATGAGACATGAATAAAGCCGTTCCCAGAAAAAGTAGTTCAGATAATGTAGGGCCTATGACAGGCTGAAACCTGAGTTAGTATCATGCAAATGATGCTGATAATTATATTAAAAGTAGAGCAAATAGAAGGTTATTTGATGACCAACTTGGGGAACAATTTAGCAGATGATAAAATAATTATTTGCTGTAGCAGATAGAACTGTCTGCAAGAAATTCATAAGGTGCCTGAGCCCTAGACCTGAGCTAGCAGGAAGGGGATGACCTATAAAGCCTTGGAAATATTCAAGACAGAGTCTACATAGTTTTGATTTTCTAGAGCTGTGCAAAATGCAAACTGAGTGACCTGAGATAATATTCCTGGCTAGCTGGCATGTGTCACAGGTTCTGTGCATTCAGAGACTGAACAGGGAGTTCTATTCAAGATGCTATAAGGCAGCAATCAAAAAGAGACCAGGCCCGCGGCTCAGTGGAGACCTGGGATCTCATCCCTATCTGTTGGCAGAATTCAATTGCTTTTGGTTGTAGAACTTGGGCCTTAGCTTTTAGAGGGTAGTCACCATGTGCTGCTGAGGCCCATCATGATGCTGTGACCCTCAGAGTTGTTCTGCCTCTCTGTCCCCCATCTCTCTTTCAAAGGACTCATCTGCTTGGCCCAGGCTCTTTTGGAGTAAACTTAAAGGCA